ATCAGAATCAACCAAAGAACTTTTTTTAAGTGAAAATCCTCAGGCCTCATAGGGAAGCTCTATTTTTAATTTCTTGAGGAATCTCCACAGTGTTCTCCAAAGTGGCTGCACCAACTTGCATTCCCACCAACAGTGTAAGAGGGTTCCCCTTTCTCCACATCCCCTCCGACACGTGTTGTTTCCTGTCTTGCTAATTTTGGCCATTCTAAGTGGTATAAGGTGGTATCTCAATGTGGTTTTAATTTGAATCTCCCTGATGGCTAGTGATGATGAACATTTTTTCATGTGTCTGATAGCCATTTGTATGTCTTCATTGGAGAAGTGTCTGTTCACATCTTCTGCCCATTTTTTGATATGGGCATGGTACTATTTTATATTACAGGTTGCTGTGCTGTAGAAACACTTGTATCGTTTTAAAAATTCAGATGCCAGAGTTTTGTGTATGTTGAGTTTGAGGAGTTCTTTATAGATCCTGAATATCAACCTTTTGTCTGTACTGTCATTTGCAAATATCTTCTCCCATTCCGTGGGTTGCCTCTTTGTTTTCTTGACTGTTTCCTTTGCTGTGAAGAAGCTTTTGATCTTGATGAAGTCCCAAAAGTTCATCTTCGCTTTTGTTTCCTTTGCCTTTGGAGACATATCTTGAAAGAAGTTGCTGTGGCTGATATCGAAGAGATTACTGCCTATGTTCTCCTCTAGGGTTCTGATGGATTCCTGTCTCACGTTGAGGTCTTTTATCCATTTTGAGTTTATCTTTGTGTACGGTGTAAGAGAGTGGTCAAGTTTCATTCTTCTACATATAGCTGTCCAGTTTTCCCGGCACCATTTATTGAAGAGACTGTCTTTTTTCCACTGTATATTTTTTCCTGTTTTGTCGAAGATTATTTGACCATAGAGTTGAGGGTCCATATCTGGGCTCTCTACTCTGTTCCACTGGTCTATGTGCCTGTTTTTATGCCAGTACCATGCTGTCTTGGTGATCACAGCTTTGTAGTAAAGCTTGAAATCAGGTAATGTGATGCCCCCAGTTTTATTTTTGTTTTTCAACATTTCCTTAGATTCGGGGTCTCTTCTGATTCCATACAAATTTTAGAATTATGTGCTCCAGCTCTTTGAAAAATACTGGTGGGATTTTGATCGGAATGGCATTAAAAGTATAGATTGCTCTAGGCAGTATAGACATTTTAACAATGTTTATTCTTCCAATCCAAGAGCATGGAATGGTCTTCCATCTTTTTGTGTCTTCTTCAATTTCTTTCATGAGTGTTCTGTAGTTCCTCGAGTACAGATCCTTTACCTCTTTGGTTAGGTTTATTCCCAGGTATCTTATGGTTCTTGGTGCTATAGTAAATGGAATCGATTCTCTAATTTCCCTTTCTGTATTTTCATTGTTAGTGTATAAGAAAGCCACTGATTTCTGTACATTGACTTTGTATCCTGCCACGTTGCTGAATTGTATGAGTTCTAGTAGTTTGGGGGTGGAGTCTTTTGGGTAAGATACAGATGTAGTGAAAAGAAGGGCCATCTGTACCCCAATGTTTATAGCAGCAATGGCCACAGTCACCAAACTGTGGAAAGAACCAAGATGCCCTTCAACGGACAAATGGATAAGGAAGATGTGGTCCATATACACTATGGAGTATGATGCCTCCATCAGAAAGGATGAATACCCAACTTTTGTAGCAACATGGGTGGGACTGGAAGAGATTAGGCTGAGTGAAATAAGTCAAGCAGAGAGAGTCAATTATCATATGGTTTCACTTATTTGTGGAGCATAACAAATAGCATGGAGGTGAAGGGGAGTTAGGAGAAGGGAGTTGAGGGAAATTGGAAGGGGAGGTGAACCATGAGAGACTATGAACTCTGAAAAACAATCTGAGGGGTTTGAAAGGGCAGGGGGTGGGAGGTTGGGGGAACCAGGTGGTGGGTATTGGAGAGGGCACGGATTGCATGGAGCACTGGGTGTGGTGCAAAAACAACGAATACTGTTACACTGAAAATAAATAAATAAAAAATTTTTTTTAAATCCTCAGGCCTCTCCCAGTAATTCAGAATCAGCAGGTCAAACGAACTCTGGCATCTGAATTTTTAAAACTATACAAGTGTTTCTACAGCACAGCAACCTGTAATATAAAATAGTACCATTTAAAATGAAACCAAGCAAAAGATACACAAATGGTCATAACAGCATTACTCATATAGCTCAAAAATGAAAACAATTCAAGTATCCATGAACTGGTAGGTGGATAAGTAAAATGTGGTCTCTCCATACAATAGAATATTATTCTGCATAAAAAGGAAAAGAAGTCCTGATACATACTAGAAAATGAATGAACTTTGACAACATTATGCTAAGTTAAAGAAGCCAGGCAGAAAGAACAAAATGTTATGTGATTTCATTCTTACAAAATGCTGAGAAGAAGAAAGTCTATATAGAAGAAGTTTATCAGTGGTTCCTTAGGGTTGGGAGCATGGTTAGATTGAGGAGTGGGGTGTAATAGCTAAGGGGTACTGGGTTTTGGGGGAGTGACTGATGAAAATGTTTTGGAAGTAGATCATGCTGATGGTTGCACAAATCTGTGACTATACTAAAAAGCCAGTAATTGCATACTTCCAGTAGGTGAATTTTGTGATGTCTGAATTAACATCTCATTATTATATTTTTAACATGACAACCAAAAATTAAACATTTAATTTCATTATATGACTGAGAAGTGAATCAGACAGAATTAACTGACTAATTAACTAAATATGAAAAGGACTTTAGAGAAGGATAGATAATGATACTTGCCTTTTTAAAAATATTTTATTTATTTGAGAAAGAGAGAGTGTGAGCAGGGAGAGGAGCAGAGGGAGAAGGAGAAACAAACCTAAACCAACAGCAAAAGCCTGCAGTCCCGGATCCCTAACAGAAAGCCAACAGATCATCACTAAGTCAACCCATGGTAAAGCCTACCACAGAGAAAGTTATGACCATGGGTCGAGACCATCCATTCAAGTTTTAAGCAGCTTGTTCTTAGATAACCAAGGGTCCTCAGACATCTTAGGAAACATCTTACAGAAAAATAAAAAGGAAACACAATGGTCAGCTGTTTGTCCTCACTTGACTCAATCTCTCAGAAGCGCTGGACCCTCTTCTGTGAAAAATGCTCCTCCTTGGCAGCCTTCATGCCACACACTCCTGGTCTCCTTCTGACTCTGTCCATCTCGGCCTCTTCAGGTAGCCTCTGCTTCTCCTCTACCCAGCTTTAAGCTTGGAGTACCTCCAAGCCCGGCGTCCTTCCTGTCAACCCTCCCTCTTTACTTTAGCCCCATCCACATGCCAGCAGACCCCACATGTGCATCTTCAACCAGACCTCAGTGAGACACACAACTGTCTACCTCACTTCTTCACTTAGATATCTCATTCAGACCTAAAAACCCCCTGAAAAGACGGTCCTCCACCAAAGTGAATGCACACACCCAACAACCAGAAACTCCATCCCCACACCCACATTCAATCTATCAACAAGTCTTACCAATTCTTCCTCCAAAATAGACCCTAAAATCATCCACTTCCATGCAGTTCTATCCCACCACCCTAGTCCAAGCTGCCATGACTTCTCATCTGTATTACTATGGGAGTATGCACCCTTTTCGTCCATTCATCCCACAGTAACCAAATGACTTTTCAAAAAGGAAATAAGATTACTTCTCTGCTTAAATCAGTTACAATGTTTCCACTGCATGTAAGACCGGAATCCAGAACACCACTATGGCCCATGGGATGTCCACCTGCAACTCCCACCTCCTATGGTACCTCCACCCTTCACTGCAACAATGTGGGCCTCATGGCAGTTTTAGAACTTTCCACATTCTTTCCTGCCTCAGGGACTTTGCACTTCACCTTCCCTTTGCCTGAAACAGTCTTCCCTCTACCTTTCCTTCTCATCTTCAAGACACAAGTGACCTGAATGTCCCCACCAAGAAATGTACCTTAACACCAAGGCACCATGTCTTGAATGTAGTAAGTAAACTAACATGACCCCGTTAATAAACACCTATACCAAATAAAACTCCCATACCAAACTCCAATGCCAAAAAAAAAGAATGAATTGCATGTAATAGCTTTTTTTTTTTTTTGTAACAGCTTTTCTTAACTGTGAATAGCATATATGAAATGTGTTGCATTTAAGTTGGTCAAAGCCAAAAAGGTGTTTCACTAAAAGGGAAGATTTTCTTCCTCATACAAAACCTTATTAGCAATTGTGAAATCTACGTGTTACCTTTGGAGAAGGAATTGCCACTAGACCTTTGATGTTAACCTAGGCACTAAGAGGTCCCGAATGGCATTACCTGAAGAATGCTGACCTATGAAAGACAGCACAGCCACATGCCTCTGAAACAAACCCATCTCTATAAGGTAGGCTTTTGAGTTGTTTCTCCTACAATGAGAATTAATTTGGACTCAGTCCTCACAAATCTCTTTTGAAATGAAGCTGAGGACAAGCAAACAAATTAATTAAGGAACAAATGAATTAAACTAATACATACTTGTCTTGACCGGTGGAGAGTCATGTGTGAGATTCTTGGGAGAAGTAATGATGCAGTGGCTGGTGCGTGGACTCAGCCAGGTGATCTCCATCAGACAAATTCAGGATATTGGCTTTATCAGCCTAATTCCGTATTTAACTGACATAATTATGTGTAATCAAAGATAAGACAACACCAGAAGAGAAAAAGAGGTTGAGATTTATCTTGTTCTTGTGTCTGGATCTCACCCTTCCCCTCTCTAAAAAAGCAAAGTCAACTCATTTTAAATAGCAAGAATTAATACAGGTGATATATTATTATAAAATTAACTAAAATAAGCTACACATGTATAAAACTTCATCAGAATAAGGAATATATTTAAACTATGTTATTGTAAAGATCATCTTTTATTAAACAGTCTTGGATGCTGACTTCTAGCTTCATTTATTATGACTTGTGTGGAGACCCAGTGGGGTGTTCAAGCTTACCTTTGAGCCTGGAGGGGGAGCCAAACCCAGAAATGAATAAATAATATTCTCTTCTTTTGCAGAGAAGAAAGAGTCAAAATCCTGGAAGCAAAGAAAAAGAATGTTTAAACCCCACTGCACAATTGTGAGCCAGAATATTTGCCTAAGTTGATCATTTTTATTAGTCATTAACTTAGAAGATATAACTCAAAAGTTTATCCCAGTTTGTTTTTCAAAGATGATTAACCCCAAAAGTTAAGATATCTCTAACCATGAACTTTAAATACGTTTTTATCATTTCACTGTGCGGAATACAAAGCAGCGAGAATGAGCACACACTCATGGGCACACGCGCGCACGCACACACACACACACACAACCTGGTTGTGCTCAGGAATTGCTGACAAGACTCAGATATACAGAATGAAAGGATTCTCTGGAAGTGTCATATCCTCAGCTGGTTTCCTTAAAATTTGGCCCCATGGATTTGGACCCTGATCAGCTGAGACTAAGACAACACAGGATTTCTCCAGAGTTAGAGTAATAGCTTAGAGTAGAGTAATAGCTTACTATTACTCTACTCTCCAGAGTAGAGTAATAGCTTCTACGGGACAAGACCCATCTCAGACCTTCTGATACCAGCTGCCACAGGATCATGGAGGGCTTACAGCGGCACCTGTTTTGGCAGAGTGGGAAAAACTACAGAGTGTGGTGAAACCTGGTAGCTGATTGAAATCTGGAGCTCAGTGAAGCCCCACTTTGCCCCCCACCACATGCCCACCCAGGGGTCCAGCCCTAAACCCTCTCTTCAGGAGTGTGGTTGTCAGGAGCCCAGAAGAGTTTCATTTCATATAGTTAAAACATAGGAGTGCTTCCCCAGACTACTTCGTGACTGCCTGTCTCTGTCGTCGGGGCAGCAATCAGTTTCTCCATGCACTAAGGGTGGTGTGTATGGCCCAGTTTGAACAGAGGGTGCTCAAACCAACTTGGTGTTACTGCCCACTCTACTCTTACGTGTGTTAAGAAGCTTAAAACCAAATACAGGCCACTGACATCGGGAAGAAAACGTTATGTATTCTTGTGTGTCAATCTTACCCAAAGCTTTATTATTTTCCTACCTGTTGCCCAGATTCACTCAGTGGCTAATTGTACTCTCTCACACGGAATGCATTTTTGTGAGCTGCCTCAAATCTTAGCTGGAGGAACTAGAGCATCAAGAGCAAGTGGTCATTTGGTATGGATTCCTGGAGCATGCATATGCAGGATGTTAAAGATTACATGATAGGGGGCGCCTGGGTGGCACGGTGAGTTGAGCACTGGATTCTTTGATCTCAGCCCAGGTCACGATCTCAGGGTCATGGGATCGAGCCCCACATCAGGCTCCAGGCTCAGTGGGGAGTCTGCTTGAGATTCTCTCTCTTCCTCTCCCTCTGCTACTCCCCCCAACCATGTACTCACACACTCTCTCTCTCTTTCTCTCAAATAAATAAATAAATCTTTTTTAAAAAATTATATGATAGAACACATTTGTACTAGTAGAGAATAGATGAAAGACAATGAAGTAAATTTATTCCATTTTACAAAAATTCCATAAAGATCTGTAAATTCTCTAGTTGGCCAACTCTAGAAGCTTTCAAATCAAGAAAGGTTTTCTTTTTTTTTTTTCAAGATTTTATTTATTTCAGAGAGACAGAGAGAGAGCATAAGTGGGAGTGGGGGGTAAGGGGGTTAGGGGCAGAGGCAGAGGGAGAAGCAGACTCCCTGCTGAGCAGGGAGCCCAACACAAGTCTCAATCCCAGGACCCTGGGATCATGTCTTGACTCAAAGGCAGATGCCAACCGACTGAGCCACTCAGGTGCCCCAGAAAATGTTTCTTATCATTGAGTGAATTGTCTTTTGCTTCAACTTAGGTCTAAATAGCTTTTCTTTTTTTTTTTCTTTCTCTCTCTCTCTCTCTCTTTTTTTTCCAAATAGCTTTTCTAACTTCCAAGGACTGAACAACAATTTGTCATTATTTTTGACTTGACACTAACAAAGAGATACAGAAAATAATGAGTATGAAATGGTTTTCAACTACCAGCTGTGATAGTATAGCAGATTAGAGGCCCTGAAACACTGTCTCAAAAACAATTTTTTAAAGAAGTCAGATTAAGAGAAGAAGTATAGACACATTGCTGAGCTGACAAAGGAAAGATCATTGCAGGTGAGACCAGGGATTCTAAGAATAAGCACATACCAAGGCAGAGTTTCTGACACAACCAGTAGATCTTTATGTCCACTTTGATGCCACAGAGAGTGAAGGCAGGAGTGAATGAAGCCTAGAGCCTAAGGTGTGGAGTTTTATAAAAGGAGGGCAGCAAGGGAGGGAGTGAAGGAATCAGGCAGAGGGGGCAAGGAAAAAGACAGTTTCCCCACGAAAAAATGACAGTTAGACTAACAACTGGCTTCTTAACACCAATACAGAAGTCAGAAGAAAGTAAAATCATAATTTCAACATCTTTTTTTTTAAGATTTTATTTATTTATGTGAGAGAGAGCATGAGAGGGGAGAAGGTCAGAGGGAGAAGCAGACTCCCCATGGAGTTGGGAGCCCGATGTGGGACCCGATCCCGGGACTCCAGGATCATGACCTGAGCCGAAGGCAGTTGCTTAACCAACTAAGCCACCCAGACACCCATAATTTCAACATCTTTAGAAAAAAACAACCATCAACCCAGAATTTTAGACCCAGTGAAACTGTTTTTTTTCCATGAAACCATTTTTAGACATGAGAGTAAAACAGACATTTTTCTGAAAAATGTCATTTTCAAACAAAAATTTAGAGAATTTACCACCAATAGACAGTCACTTAAAGAAACTTTTACAGGCTATATTAAACCAAAGGAAAGTGATTTCAGATTTATTATCTATGATGCAAGAAGAAATCATGAACAAAGACATTAATAAATATGTGTGTAAATCTAACCCTTAACAACTATTGACTATAAAACAATCACTAGAAATGCCTAATTTGTGGGGTGGAATGAAGGCCAGCCACCTAAAGTACTAAAAAAAAAAAAATACATGTAAATAGGGAAACGGTGATTAAGGTCTTAAGGCTCTTTTAATGTTTGGTGCACACATAGTTGTACATTTTGTTATTCCTCTTTAAGCTCTGTATTTTTATCACATGATACATTACATAATAAGTTTTTAGTGATGTGAAATATTTTGTCCGGTAACATCTATGCTCTGAGAACACCCTTCCCCCTCCCTAACTGGGCTTGTCTCCTGCCTCCCTCGCAGTCCTGAGGATGCTTGCCTGTGCTGAATGACCAAGGTCCCCTTCGATTGTGTTCAGGCCCAGGCAGGCACCCAGCCTCTACCTGGGCTAAGACCCATAGACTCCAATTTGGCATTGACAGACATGTCTGTATTACCAGTTAGTATCCTCTGCCAGGCGGGTAACCTGGCCTCCACTACGCCTGGCTTTCCATCGGGTGTCTCCTTTCTCTAGCTAACGGTTGTCAGCCATGCCCTCGGGATAATATCTTCATCCATTCTGCATAGATAGAGCAGCAGGAGTTCACACTGGCAGGGACAGGATGGTACTTAAAACTACCATCGACATCCAGTCCCCTTACTGCTGTGGTGCGAGAAACCCACTGCCCATCCTTGAGGTTCCTGCTACCTGCCACCATCATCAGACGAGGCATACGAGTGACCATTCGAGATGAGACCAGTGATTCTACATACATAATAATTATTCCTATAGGAGGCATTTCAAGCTCGTGGGAAGACACACTGACTGACCATCCGGATTCACGCCATTTTAAACCTGACAGGGCCTTGGGAACCTTCGAGTCTCCTTTCAAAATCTGAACCTACAATACAAATAATCATTTTTAACTATTTTCTGGAAACCAAGTCCTCTGCCTCATTAATGCACTTTTATTAAGAGTGTCCACAGACTGCAGAAAAGCAAATTTAGCAAAGCTATTCATAAGATACACTACTAATACCTCTCTGAAAGCAGAAATGAAAAGAATTAACATTAACAGTTAAACAAATAACTTACAGGCTCAGGACACCTGGGTAGCTCAGTCGGTTAAGCATTCAACTCTTGATTTTGGCTCAGGTCATGGTCTCAGTGTCCTGGGATCAAGCGCTGAACTGGGCTCTGAGCTCAGCAGGGAGATGACTTCAGATTCTCTCTCTCCCTTTCCCTCTGACCCTCCCCCTGCTGGCACACACGCACTCTCTCTCTTTAAAATAAATAAATAAAACTTAAAAAATAACAATAAGGAGAATTTATAGACTCATCTCATTAGATCCATACTTGTAATAGGAAAAAATTATAAAATAATATTCAAAATATTCTATTACAAAATAATATATACTGAAATATTACACATATATATCCAAATATTAGAAAATAATCTTCTTAAAAAGTAGAAGTCTTTTTCTTAGGAAAGAGGAAAACTTTTCTTTTTCTTCCACAACTAAAATGAAAAAAAATCACTAGATCACACCAAAATGGGATAAGAAATGACTTTGAGGTTTTCTTTTCATAGAAAAAGTAATTGCAGAACTTTTACCCTAAGAGTTAACATACGTTAAAAGCTACATATGGCAATATTTTCTCTACTATAACTAACCTTAATTTAAAAGGACAATTAAAATAAGCAAAAGTTAAGAGATTTAAAATATTACTTTCACTGGAAAAGTATCAGAAGAAAAAATGAAATTATTCTTTTGATAATTTCAGAGTGCAGAAAACTTTTGAAAGTAAGACTCAGGATCAGGAAACACAAAGAAAAAGGATTTATGAATTTGTCTTCACAAAAAATGTTTTAAGTTCTGCATTCTTAAAGAAATCACTTTAAAATGCCAAAAGAAAAAAAAAAACACGGGAAAAATTTATGCAACATCTGTGGTCATAAAAGGGCTACTTTCCCTCACAAATGAAGACTCTTACAAACCAATAAATATTACTTGTAACCCAACAGAAAAATAGCAAATCATAAGGGGGGAAAAGATAGCTTATAAACATAGGAAAAGATAGCCTCACTCACATAGACAGAAATCCAAGTCAGCTCTCATGCTCTGAGGTTATTTGAGTTTTTAAATGTTTCTTTTTTTTTTTTTTTTAGTTCTTTGCTTTAATCTATATGACCATATTTCTTCAATATGAATTATTATCGACTATTTCTTTAGCTTCTGTGGTATTTCCTGAACTGTGTGTATATTATTTCCCCAGAGAAAGCAAAATTAGCACAGAGATTCAAAGTAATGAGAATAATTTCACTGATCTAATAGCTAAACTCTTCTCTTTTTCTATCACAGGCTCTTGCTCTTTGGGCATTCTTACTGGCATCTCCAATTCTCTCGTATTTCTTTATGATCTCCAATAACTTCTTTGAACTGGTTTTCCCATCTGGGTGGCTCAGTCGGGTTAACATCTGCCTTCGGCTGAGGTCATGATCCCGGGGGGCCTGCGATGGACCCCCGCATGGGGGGGGGGTCCCTACTCAGCGGGGAGCCTGCTTCTCCCTTTCCCTCTGCTCCTCCCTCTACTTATACTCTCCCTCTTTATCTTTCTGTTGACTAGTCCCATTCGAGCCTATTGAGGGCAGCACCTCCCCCCTCCTCCCTTTCTCCATCATCTCTAAATGTTTCTTTTCAACAATTTGATTTACTAAACATAACTATAAACTCTGGAGGCAAAGGTGATTTTCTGGTGAAATGAACTATTAAATGTATAAAATAAAATTGCTATTGAATCAAAATGTCCAGAACAGTTTTTAAGCTATCTAGATACATTTCCACAAATTTACCTTGCATCTGTATTAGGATTTGACTTCTGCAAATCGTTCTTTATAAAAGTGAAAGCCGACCCTGTGTCTGCCTGGATTCATGAATGTGTACATCGTGAGGCTGATCAGAATTCCTTTCCAACGAAATGTCTACTCTGTTTGTACGAGTGACCTGCCCTCTTCAAAATAAAATAAGGGACCTAAAATAATCCCAAGAACTACCAAATCACCATTTTATTGTTTCTATCCTTCTGTGAATCTTATATATTAGTGACTCACGATGGGTCTACCATCCAGGTATTAATAGAAATAAATCATGTCCTGAAAACCATCAACAAGTTCAAATGCTGCCTCCAAATTAGCCTCTTTTTTTTTAAGATTTATTTATTTTATTTTGAGAGAAAGAGAGTTGTGGGGGAGAGGCAGAAGGAGAAGGAAAGAGAGAATCTCAAGCAGACTCCCCACTGAACGTGGAGCTGGACTCATTAACCTGAGATCATGACCTGAGCCAAAATCAAGAGTCAGATACGCAACAGACTGAGCCACCCAGGCATCCCCAAATTAATCTGCTTTAAACAATTTCTGATAAACATACATGCAGAAGAATTTCCTAAGAAACCAAATACTCACCCCACAATACTGCTCTTCATTGAAGATCTGGGGGGGCAAAGGGATTCCATTTTGAGGTTTTTTCTCTCCAGGAACATTCTCCCTCATCCACTTCCTATTGTCTTCATCTCCAGCAATGTCTAATTCCTTAAAGTCGATCTTATTAGCTTCCAAAAAGCCTACTACTTCTTGCTGCTTCTTCCTGATCTGGTCAAGAGTAGAGAAGGATTACTATTAGACTAGGGGTTTTTTACAATGAATTCTGTTATGCTGAAAAGAAATTAAAAAAAAAATAAAAATAAAAAAAAATTTTAAAAAGACTAAGGGTTTTCTTATGTTTTGCTTATATTTACATAAATTAAATCTTTTCTCCAACTATACCATGCAACACAAATAATCTTGCTGTTTTTTAAATAAGGAAAACAATAAAGTCATACGACTTGGTTATAAAGGGTCAACAGAGTCATTGTTTAAATTCTAAAATTTCAATCTCACCAATGTTTCAGTCATGGCATAATCAACCTAATACGAATAGAGAGGTCCTCATCGTAGCTTTTACTTGAGGTCTTTGATATGCTTTTAAATTCTCTGCTAAGCCTTAATGCCAAAAAGCAAATAAAAACTGGTTATGAAGAAAAGGGAGGACTGGGAGAAGAGCAAGAAGGAAAGATTGAAAAGAAAATTCTTCACGCAACTCAAATACCAAGTACACCCAACTAAAAAAGCGCTTCACTCACGGTTATGAAAATGGGCAGGTGAGCCACATTGAACAAAAGTGCCTTCAAAAATAATAAAGGAGATTGGAAGCGCACGTGGAGATGAGTGGAAGGCAAAAGGACAGAGGACACACCAGGAAAAGCCAGTAGCTGTGTCTCCCAGTCACAAGCAGCAACACAGTAAAATACCCTGTCCTCCCTCAGATTTCTCCGTTCCACGTACACAGAGAGCGGGACGCCAGGCTCGCCGGAGAGACAACTCTTGGAGCCCCTCTGCCCACCCTGGGCTCTCGTCTACCAGCCACTGTTGCCCAGGAATGTGGCCGTCTTCGCAGTTCGGACCTCCACCCCCAGAGGTAAGTCCAACCATTCTCTCTCTTCCAAGAATTCACTCCCAAAATGCACAATGCCCTCTTTCACACACACTGGTAAACACCGTGCCGCTCAATGGACCCCACTTAGGAGCCTCTGGGAGGAGGCTCTGGGAGAGAGGTCTAGAGTGGTGCCCCCACCAGTCGTAAACACTTGTGTACCCACTCTACTCTGCACAAGACAGTGTACCACGTTCTTCGTGTGAAGGGATTCACAATCTGCTTATGTGGGTGAAAAGAATGCAGAGAACTCATTTGTCCATTCTAGGCAGTGAACATACTGAAGATGATCAAGAGGCAAAGTAAGCCATTTCTTAAAAATCAGCATAAAATATTAGAGATTTTCTTTGACACGAAAATAATATCTTAATTTGTTAAATCTTCTCCATAGAATGTTGTCTCATATCAAAACAAACCATTAAAACTGTTTTATAGGGTGTGGGGCCCCTGTCATTCTCGTGTAACTCATTCATCAGCAGAGGTACTAGAATTTGAGAATCCCAAACAAACATTACAAAAGGTTCATACCCATCCCAAACCTAGTGTCTAGTCTTAATGACCCTTCTTTGGGTCAAACCCAGTTCCTTTCATAGATTTGTATACCAAAAAAAAAAAAAATTATTTTATTCATTTTTGCCAAAATGAATGAGCCTATCAATGACTCATGTGTAGAGTATTTCTTTCTTAATATAAGGAAAAATAAAGTACATATAGACACTTAAGCCCTGGAAGCAGGTCACAACCAAAACCAAATTAAGTTTTGGATTATGCAGAATTTGGTGGTAACATTATTGTATATAGTCTATGAATTATAAATATGACATAAATGAATATAAATAATTTTTTACAAGTAAATGTAAATTGCAAGTAAAATTGTATATATAAGTTAGTTATCCAGGTTTGTAAAAATGGTAATCACACATTTACTTTTTAAGTAAATTTATTTTATTTATTTATTTATTCCATCAACATAGCAAAGGTAATGCGTCTAAAAGTATTAGATCTATAAATTGAAGGCTACTGTTAGCTACAACACAACACTTAATCAGTAAGACTCAGTTTGGAGTAAGTGTGGACAAAAATAAAAATTAAAGTCCTACAGAAAGGTGTGGGGTGACAGAATTTCCCCTAAGCTTCTGGCACAAGCTTCTGGCACATTCTTGAGTGTCACATTTATCAAAAGCAAAGGAGGAGCTCATGTTTCTCCCCCATGTGCCCTCCCCCAAGGCTAAGCTAGCATAGCCCTCAGACCTTCTACTCCTCGTCCCAAAACTGCGATCCAAATTCCATAGCTTCACAGCTGAATTTCTGAATATTACAAAATCCCATCAGACCTGATGACAGGTCATTGGAACTAAATTACTATTTTAATTAATCATGCTTTCTATACATACTTTCCACCTTGTCCATAATTACCTGTGCCACTCCATAAATTACTTATTCCTTTGGCTATTTCCAGAGATAACTTTGCTATTCGAAGAGTACAGATTTCTTCATTTTAGGCAGGTTTACTTTTAGTTAAAGATTCAGAAGGCAACATCCTTTATTCTGTCCCAACCCCTGTCGTCCTCCTCAAATACCCTCCTGGGATCCCAAATTAGCCTGGCCGCCTCACCAACATTATTTCCACCTCTATTATCATGCCTCAAGACTTGAGATGAAACAGAAGGATTTCATTGTATTCCACAATTTCTGAATAGGTGAAAAACCATTCCCAAAGCCCTGACTTGTGTTTCTGCAGTTAGAAAGTCAAAGAGGGATGGAGAAATTGGGAGGGGAAGATCTGTTTGCTGTTACCTACAAGCAATTGCATCTGCGGGAACTTAACAGACTGTTAATTGCTTGACCTTGTGTTAATAGCTATTTCTCAGCCCCTCACCCCTCAAAAAAAGAGAAGAAAAGTAAAATCGGTTTCGATCCTCCCCAAACACCAGTACTTTATACTGGGTTAAAGGCATCACTGATCTCGCTGTTTAGAGCACCTGAGCTCTGCTGGGGGCTGAAGCTGAGTCTTAGGATGAGCCCAGAGGAGGAGAGAGCAGTGCAAGTAGTACATAAGCTCACCTGGTGACATGGTCACCTCTGCTCATACCTTGATGACCACCCTGAGTGGGGGCCCCCTCTCCCACAGTCTTCCCTCCTATTCAAGGAGACCCACAGACCCTCCCAGGCAAAGTGCAGCTCTTTTCCACGTGGCCTCTTGAGCCGACCCCCAAGGACATCAGCTCCCAGAGGACATTAGCTCCCTTTGTGGCCCCCAGGGGAGAAGCATACATGGCACCCAGTGGTTCTCACCACAGACACCATCTCCTCCCCACCTCCTGCCCCTTCTCCTCCCTCCAACAGCACCATGGCCAGTACTGGTCCCACAGGCTGTACCTTCTTTCCAGGCAGCCCCTCTGGAGGATCTGGGGTCCCTGATGTCTGGGTCACTATGGGTCTTTGGGACTTCAGCAGAGGCTCAGAGAGCTCTGTGTTTCCTATCCTGTTATATTTACTCTTAAGAAAGTGCTCTTTTCCAGAAGTCGCTGGCCACTGTTGGTTACCGTAATGTGTCAGAGTGATCTTTGAGTCATTTGCTTGGCACCTCCCTTTTATTGTCTTGTACAGTTAGCATCTTGTCCGACCGAGGTCACTGCACTTAGTGAAAAGCACACTGCATTTGACGACCTGCATGGAGGTGCCCTGCATTTCTCCCCTGGCTCAGAAGGCTGCTGTCTGAGCAGGGGTCCACTCCTGAATGGCCTTGTCTGATAATGGGAAAAGCACCACCCTCCTCAGGTTCTGGTGAGAACCAAGGAACATCACATGATGTGTGGCCGAGAATCTTGGACAAGGTGAGAGCCTGTACAGGGTTATCTCACTGACTTGTCCTGATTGCCAAGTCAGGTTAAGTAATCTGATCACCATCTTAAAATAACAAAGCTAAGGCACCAATGAATTAAGGAATTTTCCAAGATGTACACCAGGATCCATTTCATTCAAGGGCAGAGTTTTTGCCCACTATATTTACACTCAAGCAAGACTGGAGGAAATGATGGAGAAACCCAGGAGCCACCCTCAGGGTCTATCCTCAAAGGTCATGGTTCCAAGGGCTGTGCATCTTGAAAACAGCAAGGACAGTCCTCTCTCCCTTTGTCCCCCAGCCCACTGTGGCACTGGCCTTTGGGAAAACACAGACCTGTTCCCACTCCCAAGTTCTCTTCACTATGAAGTTCACTATGAAGGAACTTTGGAGTTCTTTGGAGTTCACTATGAAGGAACTATGAAGTTCCTTCATAAATCGGTAAAACATGTGACATTGCCTTATAGTCAACCATTCGGAGACATGACACACAGCTGCATATGCATAAGCCCTTATAATAAGACATTTCCTTTTTCATTTATTTCATTCATCCCTTAGAAATCATATGACCTCACTGACTAAGTTACAGGCAAGAATCCATTTTTAAAGTAAAGAGACTAAAGAAACAAGTAGTAAAGTGCTTACAGACCGACCACCACACACACTGGCAGCTGCTCTGGGGTTCTCCTGCAAAGAAGCTTCTGGGTGAAGTCCCCCCACCCAGGGAAAATCATTAGCACTGATACCATGGGAATAATCAGTTGTCCTTCTTTAGGATAACAAAGAAATTATTCCACCCATTTGGCTTGGGACAGTTATTCTGACACATAATCATCACAGACTCACATATACTAATATTAGCTAATAATTATAACAACTACAATAATACTGATGAACATTAACTAACATTGGAGTGCCTGGGTGGCTCAGTTGGTTAAGCATCTGCCTTCGGCTCAGGTCATGATCCCCAGGATCCTGGGATGGAGCCCTGTGTGGGCTCCCTGCTCAACAGGGAGCTTGCTTCTCCATCTTCCTCTGCCCCGCCCCCTATTAGTGCCCTCTCTCTCTCTCAATCTTTCTCTCTCTGTCTCTCTCAAATAAATAAAATCTTTTTTTTAATTTATTTTCAGCATAATAGTATTCATTGTTTTTGCACCACACCCAGTGCTCCATGCAATCCATGCCCTCTCTAATACCCACCACCTGGTTCCCCCAACCTCCCACCCCCCGCCCCTTCAAACCCCTCAGATTGTTTTTCAGAGTCCATAGTCTCTCATGGTTCACCTCCCCTTCCAATTTCCCCCAACTCCCTTCTCCTTTCTAACTCCCCTTGTGCTCCATGCTATTTGTTATGCTCCACGAATAAGTGAAATAAAATCTTTTTAAAATATATTTTAAGCATTAACTAACATTAGCTAACAATAATAATACCTAATACTTAAAACAACTATAATATTAAGTAGCCATATGTAATAATTATAAAATTAACTAGTAATTATAATATGTATTAAGCACTGATTAAGCACGGGACACCCTGTAAGGCACCCAGGGGCTTATTTCCTAAATCCTCATGGCAATGCCATGAGATGAATACTATTCTTACCCTCATTTTACAGATAAGGAAATTGAGGCTTAGCAAGGTGAAATAACTTTCCCAAGGTCAAACAGTTCCAAGAGACAACAAAAGATTTGCTTAGGGAACCAGAATTAATGTGGTTTTTCTAAAATCCTAGAATGAACAGTGCCTCTCCAGCTCCTCTGAGGCTAACTCAATCATATGCCCAGACTTCAAGAATATAAGACCTCAAATAATCCTAAGAACTCCACAAGTTTGTCCACCATCTATGGAAGGAGGCATAGGGCACTCACACGTGGCCTACAGAAAATGGAGATTAGTCACTGGTAAAAGTTTCCGTAAAGCATCAACAGAATACTGAAAGCCCACTAAAGCCATTTTCTTCAGTAAAAATTATTTTTAATCTAATAATCCAAAAATGTGCTCTTTATGGATCAACTAAAAGTTTTGAGGTCATCAACAGCCACAAAAGAGTTTGTGGTTTTTACATCTGGAATTTTTCCTCCTCTGTTTCTGTTAAAAGATGCTCCACAGATACTAAGTAGTTGCTGATGGGTTGTGCTCAGAGGGACAACCAGCCTCTTTCTTGTTCTCTTCCTGTCCTCTGGAAACTGCATGAACTTTCAGGGCTGTGGGTGGGGGCATTCAGGAGCCAGCACTGGGGCTGCTCCCAGCCAGCTGCTGGCCAAGGGTATCATCCCTGGCCCTGAGTGAAATCCAAGCTGCAGGATGGCCCAGGAACTAGATATAAAAGGAAACAGCCCCCTTGCGGTTCTGTTTCATCAAGACTGATGAAATGGCTTCCTCCTACACCCCCCCCAAAAGCCTCAAATGCTCCCAGAAATGTCAGTCTCCAATAGATAACTGCAGGTTCAAGCCTAAAATCGAAGACTGGAGCATTGTCAAGGAGAAGAGGCAGCTTCCGTTACGCTTGTTTCTTCAGGCAGGTCTATCCTGCACAGAACGAAGGCAGAAACTGGAAGGGTAATTCTGAGCCTGGTCCCAGGGAAAGCAGAGGCTGCTTTATGGGGTGGGCCCCTCACACCTATTTTTGGCCCGTTTGAATTCCTAGAACGTTTGAAACTGTGGCCTTAGAGATGTTTGCTCTTGTCACTGTGACATCATTTTCCCCAAATAATACTATTACACATGCTAACTTTACACTTTTGGTATAGTTACATCACACACCTAAGGACAATTGACCCTTGAACAACGCAACTTTTAAACAGCACGGGTCCACTCATACACAGATTTTTTTTCTATAACTACCGAAAGTATGGTAAATGTGTTTTCTCTTTCTTACAGTTTTCTTAATAACATTTTCTTTTCTCTAGCTTACTTATTGTAAGAATACAGTTTATATTACCTATAACATACAAATATGTTAATCGACTGTTTATGTTGTCAGTAAGCCTTCTGGTCAACAGTAGACCATTAGTGATGTTTGGGGGAGTCAAAAGTTATACATGGATTTTCCACTATGCAAGTGTGAGCGCCCCTCTCCCCCTCCCGGAATTGTTTAAGAGTCAACTGTAATTACCTCCAGGAGTCATTTTGGTAATGTGGCTCATCACACCCTCCAAATATTGTGACACAAAGTGTCATTTATTTGCAACTTTAAATTAGTCTATGCCTTAGAGAATGATCATCAGAAACACTCCACCAAAAAAAAAAAAAAAAGCTTTGATTCTATAATATATACGAACACAACACAAATCACATGTTTAAAAATTCTAGTATCACACACGCCCCCTTCCTGGAATCCCTTTCAAACCCAGCTAGCCCGGATCACTCATTTTCCACACGTCTTCAACACGGTTAAAGCAAACGCAGAAAGCAAAGGCACGCAGGCTTACTGCGGAGCTACGGCTGACTTACACTCTCCTCACAAAAGAAACTTCAGGCCAACGCTGGGCCAGAACCGCTGCTTCTACTTCTTGGTTTGAGTTTCTCAGAAAATCCAACAGTATGAAAGCCCCACCAATTCCAGCAGACACCTACCGCTATGGACCCAGAAGATGTGGCAACAAACACTTTGATAACCATTTTGACAGTCGGAAAAAGGGCTCCCCCCAACACACCCCCGTAAGGGAACGCGGCGTTAGACGGATCCCGACCGCGGCCCCGGCCGGGCAGGTAGCAGGTGCCAGGTAACAGCAGGTGCAGGTGCCAGGTGCGAGCTGGCGGCCACCCAGCGCGGTCTGAGCCCCTGAGCCTCCCGCCGCAACTTAAGCCCTGCGACTGCCCCCAGCGGTGCGGGCGGCTCGGGCTTTCCCGGCCATTGGCCGGGGGCGAGAGGGGGTCTGCCAGGCGAAGACGGGATTGGTGGATAAAAGCAGCCACTGACTTTAAACGCCGGACAACAGCCCCTAAAAGGCCAGGCTGCGCCGCGCACCAATCAGGCCGCCGAGCACCAATCAGCGCTGCGCAGGCATAGACGCCTGAGGTGACAGCCGAGCTCCTGGGCGCTGGAAAAGCCCAGAAGACGCCAGCTCGTCCCCTGGGGAGGCTGTGTTTGCAAGGCTTTGGGCAAACGGACCGAACCGAAAGGGTCGGAACAGCCACACAGCCCTTGAAATAAGCAAAGGCGTCCTGACTTTCACATTTTCCAGTCGGTTAAAAAAAAAAAAAATTGGTGAACTCTTATACAAGAGATGCCTTTAGACGTGGCCCACTTCCAGTTTTCTCCCTTTCCCACCTGTTGCTCCTAAAGAACGAAGCTGACAGACCACAGAGGTGTAAGGTTTCACTGACATCCCAGACAAGGCAGGGCGGCAGAGGCGGGCTGTCAGCAGGGATGAGTTCAACAAGCGAAATGTCTTCACTATCTCAGAGACGTGGGGAGAAAATAAAAGTTTGTAACAGTCTCTCTCCGTCTTCTTTATGTAGATAATTAAATCGAGTAAAAAGCCCAAATGCTACCGTCCAATTTTTCTGATGAGTTTCAAAATCAAGCTCAAGGACATAGGACAAAAAGGCACAAAGGGGTCATTTACTCCTCTTAGATAACTGAGTCTCTTCACCTCTCTCTCTCTCTCTCTCTCTCTCACTTTCTTTTTATTCTTAAGTCCTGTGCTGCTCCCTGAGGAGGTGGTTACTGGCATGCTGGAGCAGGGAGGGTTCTGGAAGCCTTCTCTACCTGCCCCCTTCACCAGAGTCCCAGGGGCCTAGAGGCCTGCTCCCCTCCCCTAGGACAGGTGCCTTTGCTGAGAAAGGACACCCCATCCCTGCAACATAGCTCAAGTCCATTTACTTGGAACGAATGATTGAGTTGACTGCCATTTATCTTAGAGCCTCACTATGCAAATTTGCTCCCCAAATTAGGCCCTTGCTGAAGATGATTAATGGCTCCCCAGATTTAAGTCATTAGCATTGTAAATTTTATTTTCAAGCCCACCAAAGATTATAGGACATTTGTGCTCCTCTTTCTTGTATTTTCAAAATCATAAAGCAAGTAAATACTATTTTTGTCATACAAACTATTTTTTCAACACCTTAGTCTCAAATTCTACCACATAAGCAAACCATTTTTCTCCAAACACAATTGAAGAGAGTAATAAACTATGCATATTTCTCAATGATTTTGTAAATTACTAACATGAACTATAGTTGATCCTCATGTGCCCTAAAGAGTACACAACTGCTGATGGTCGTACAGGGCAATGCTGCCTTTAACAATGACACACCCCCTCCATCCACATGCCCTAGGGAGAAAGAATAGCCTATTTGAAATGAGAGCTAATAATTTTTAAATGTTTGCCACGTGCCAGGGGTCCTCTAATTGTTTTGCATAAACCACTCCCTTAATCTGGGTCCTACTCCTATCTTAATCTGCACAACACTAGCACTGGGTCCTACTCCCATCCTTTCTCCAGGATGAGGATAGGAAATGGTGCATCCAAAACATGAACCCAACCCATCCACACCAGAAAAACTCCTCACACACTACCCTCAAATTCCTAGTACACCCTCTTTACACAATAGATTATTTTTAGAAGTTTACCTTTTTAATAATGACCATGAAAATGTACAAATTGGGACTTTGAAAACTCTAGCTGAAAGATCTTTTCATTTATGACAGTGACCCCAAGAAACTTCAAGATAATTAATAGGAATACGAAACATTCCAAGTGAAGCGCAACAAATCTCTGCTTAAAATAAAAGCTCAACAAATCTCTGCCTTAGAAAATTCCCTTCAGGGATGCCTGGGTGGCTCAGTCAGTTAAGCATCTGCCTTCAGCCAAGGTCCTGATCCCGGCGTCCTTGGATCAAGTCCCACATCAGTCTCCTTGCTCAGCAGGGAGCCTGCTTCTCTCTCTCCCTCTGCTGCTCCCCCTGCTTGTTCTCTCTCTGGTAAATAAATAAATAAAATCTTTTTGAAAAGAAAGAGGGGTGCCTGGGTGACTCAGTAGGTCAAGCCTCTGCCTTTGGCTCAGGTCATGATCCCAGGGTTCTGGGATCAAGCCCCATATCTGGCTCTCTGCTCAGCGGGGATCCTGCTTTCCATGCTCCTCTCTCTGCTTGTCTCTCTGCTCACTTGCGAACTCTGTCTGTCAAATAAATAAAATCTTTTTAAAAAAGAAAGAAAGAAAGAAATTTCACTTCAAAAAAGCTGTGTGCTCTACTGAAGAGGTAAAAGGTTTATCATTTCACATCTCTAGCCCTAGATGCTAAGTGAAATAATGTTACTTATTTTGTTAAAGAATTTTTTTCAGCTTTATTTCAGTATAATTGACAGATACAATCCTAAGATAGCTGAAGTGTACATCATGATGATTTGTGGAACATACACACTATGAAAGAAAGATTTCGTCAAATTTTAATGATAAAAGTGTGAGGTATTGACTCCAAACTGGGCAGAGATTCTCAGATAATCTTAAAATAAATGATGCCATATGCTATGTTTCTGTTTACATAATGTGACAGGTAAACTAAAATGAGAAATAAACGGATATTTGTAGTATGTAGAATGACAGTGGTGACCACCAGAATAACAGCAGTGACCTGAATAGTGTCTCCCCTCAAAATTCAAGTCCACCCTAAACTTCAGAATGTGACCTTATTTGGAAACAGGATCTTTGCAGATGACATTGGTTGAAGATCTTAAAATTAAATCATCCCGGATTTCGGGTGGGCTCTCAGCCCAATAACTGATGTCCTTACAAGAAGAGGAGGCACACAGAGAGAGACAGAGAAAACACCGTGTGAAGACAGGGCTGCAGAGACAGAACCCATCCTGCCATGAGCCAAGAAGGCAAGGAAGGATTCTTCCCAGGAGATTTTGAAGAGAGAGAGTGTAGTCCTGCCAACACCTTGATTTCAGACTTCTTGCCTCCAGAACTGTGAGAGCATAAATTACTGTTGTTTTAAGCCACTGGGTCTATGGTGATTTGTTACAGTGGAGTTAACCAAACTAATACAGAGAAATAAAGGTGCATGTTACTATTTAGCAGAATTCCTAAAGACAGTTCTTCGGCTTTGTACTCACGGGGCTCTCCCCTTTCATAACACACATGGATACCGATGGAAAAGAAACATCCCCTTTCAAAGGCAGAAACATAGGCTATAGACAAGAACAGCTAGCAAAGCAGAGGAGAGACCATTTGGATGGGAAAGGAAGCTCTGAGGGGCCTCCATCTTTCAGGATCCTTCAGTCCTAAGCACAAGGGTTGGAATGTTCACTTAATTATAAGCTGCCACTTTTGGTACTGTCCTGGGAGCACCAGCAGCCGTAAAGCCAGCATCTTTCAATGAATGTCAATCTAGGGTGACACCTGTCTGCCGTATGTCCTCCTAGAGATGCTGCCCAGCTCACCACCAACAAAAAGTGCCACCACCCGCCTTCTAGGGATAACTCGCCTCCTAAGGTTGTTGAAACACAGCCCACCAAAATTAGAGTGGACACTCTAATGGCACAAGAAGGAAGGGGTGGTGGCGTGAAGGGGAAGGCTTGCCCCCTCCTTGCCCTAAAAAACTAGATCTAAACAGAGTCAGTTTGGAAACACCCACTACCCCTACTACATAAAATCCAAATCAAAAACTCTAAGTGGTAAATGTGGTAAATTTGACTGTATACAAATATCAAAATACATGTCAACAAAATTTAAAACAAATTGGAAATATTTACAACATATACCACAGACCAAGTTTTCATATAGGAGACCTGAGTTTCACAGAACAGCGAAAGTTCCTACAAAGATGGACACCAAGTGAAAAATGGGCAAAAGGCAGGAAAAAGCAAATAGCAAAGTCCAAAACGTCCCTAAAAATATTTTTAAAATGTTTCCTAGCAAAGATGTGAATAAAATCCAAGTGTCAACTTTTGACACTTGGGCAAACATCTTTTAAATAAACTAGATTAAAAGATTATCCCCATTGTTGGTTAAAGATTGGGAGACATTTGCCTAGAAGGCAAACTTTCATATACGTTCAGAGAGCCTCAAAGTGGGCATTTCCTTTGATCCTTCAATTTCACATGTAGGATTTATTCTAAGGAGTCAGGGGTGACATTGTTAACCTTAAACATCAAACTGCGAGTTATTTTGCCAGCAAATGGATTTAGTCAGGAGTAACAAAGAATTGCAACTTGGGACATTCAAGCCATGGCAAAACCTTAGACAAATCCAACCAACAAAGGAGAGGAACATGATTTTATGGAGAAGGAATTTGGGAGGGATTCAAAAGTCCTTGTGAGAAAGCAAGAGTTCAGGGTGATGACTCTCTCACTGACTTGAGTAACAAGGGTGGCCAATTTCTTGTGGGAGACGCCATGCACATCATCCCCTGTTGGGCCCATAATTGATTATTCCTTCCTGTTGACACTCTTCTGTTGGGGAATCTGTAACCGACACTTCTGTTGGAGCCTGTAATTGAGCTGAATGACAAGGGCTTCCCCTTCTAGCCTCAGACCTACTTTAGCGATGTTTCCCTTTATTAATTTTCACACCTTAAAGACTCACTTATAGGGATATTCAACATGGCATTAATACATACGGGGGGAGAGAAAAGGAGCAGAAGGCAGAGAGAAAGAGGAAAAGTAATATAAATGTTCATTAACTCTGGCTATGCAGTCGCTTAAAAGTCCTATGTAGTCATTAAAAATCACCTGCAATTCCATCATCCAGGTGATTTTTAAATTTTTCTTCGTACTACGCTCTACATTCTAAATTCTATGCAACCAACATGCATTGCTTTGGGATCAGATTTTCTTTCACCAAAGAAATTCATCTTTATGAAGAGAGATTAACGGGAGTGTTCTGCTCTCTGTTCCCTTCTTCTCCAGGAAGAGAAGACGAGTCTATACCCGCCCACCTGGGTCCACCCCCTACCCCGGGAACCTGGCGTCTACACCTGCTCGCGCCGCCTGGCAGCCAACCCGGAGTTGGGTCCGCGCACCTCCCGGCAGGGAACGGGACAGACATGCGCACTGGGCTCGGATTCAGAACACCAGCACGTGGGCGAGTGCGACGGAGAGCGTGAAGGGACAGCTGCACGGCCGCGGGATCAGTTCGTGCGCCCCAGACGCGCCCGGGGCCACGGTGGGCCGCGGGAGGTTAAGTCGCTACACTCAGCTCAGTAGTGCGCAAGCGCGCGGCTCTCACCGCCCCGCCCCCCGGCTCGGCCGGTCCAAGGAGGCGCCGCGCGCGGGTTTCCAGAGCGACGCGCGAGACCGGGAGGCCGCGGGGTTGGCGCTGCCGCGGAGCCGCGCGGAACAGGTAACGGCCCGGCCCGGCCCGGCCCTAGGCAGAGCCTCCTGCTCAAGCCTCTGGGCCTTTCGGTGCCTCCGGTCACTCAGCCCCGGCCCCTGCCCGGCTCGGGCCGCGCCGCCTGGCTCTCCCTGGAGTTGGTAACGTAGCTGGGCCGCCGGCCGCCTCTCCCGCAGAGCGCGCCCGCCCCGCCCGCACCGGGGGTCTCCGCCCTCGCCGCGCAGCCGGGGCCCCTCTGCACGCGGCCTGGCCGCCGGGGCCCGGGGACCCGCGGCCGCCGTCAGCGCCGCCCCCCAGCTGCGGGCTCCGGCCAGTGCTTGGTTCGTGCGTGAATCTGCTGCCTTGAGGTTCGCGCCTGCCCACCCGCTTTTGCTTCGCTTTGCTTTTTTCCTTCTAAC